GGTAGGTAAATAATAATGCAAGTGGGATTTTTCTTTTGGGCATGTATGTATGGTGTTATATATGGTGGACATAATTTTAAAATTGATCATCTAATTGGGTCATTTTCTAAAAATGCACCTTATTATTCGCCACTTTCATTATGAGTCCTATAAATTATCTATTCAATCAAAAGTGGTCCTATTTTATCTGCCTCCCGGATTAAAAATGTGACATGGCGTGACTAAAGTTTACGTGGCAGCAGGGGCGGAGCCAGGATTTTAAATCTACCCGGGCTAGAATTATTTTTGAAATAAAAAAAAAAAGAAAAATATGTATGTTAACTTTATTGCGTTCCAACAAACCTTTTGTTTTTTTAATTTATCATTTACAACTTGTTTTTTGCATAAAATTAACGACCAAAAAAAAAAAATTAAACTCATCATTTTATTGTATGATGAATTTAAATATTTTTAAATAGACAAGACGATTTTCGTAGACGTACCCATACTACTAAAAAATTATCATTTTTTGGCTTAAAGAGAGAGAGAATATTTGGTCTTTTTTCTCTCTTAATTTGACATTGGAATACATGATCAAAAGAGATGTTAACACCAAAACACAAAATCATCATGACTTATTGTAAAAATAAAATTAAAAAAATAATAACTTGTTGTGAATATAAATCTATAACCCTATAAATTATAAAAATGAAGTAATTATTAAAACATAGTTAGTTCTATAAACACGATAATTTATTAAAGAGTAAAAAAACTAAAGAATAAAAATAATTAAAAAAAAATCTCACTTAATGGAGTTGGGCCAGTTGGTAGAGGGGCTTTGAAATCCTACAGCAAAGCCAGACAAACAATTGCAATTGAAAGCAATAAAGCTGACGACGAGTTCCTTGTAAGTAGATTAATAAATTAAATATATGTTTTTAATTGGGCTTTTTGTATGTTGTATTTATTTGTTAGTGGGCTAAGTGGATAATCTTAAGCTTGTTGAATTTGGCACCTGGGCTAAAGTATAAAAATTTACAAAATGGAATATAATATACATGGGCTGTATTTGTACCTATCTGGGCTACAGCCCAGGTACATCTAACTGTAGCTCCGCCCCTGCGTGGCAGGATTATGAAATATTTACCTAAATTAAATAATCTACATCATCTCCAGCCTTTAGTTGCAATTAATTAAAACTTTCAAAATTGCACAGTAGTTCTCAAAATTTATTAAATTTTAAAAATGATTCCTTGCAATTGTAAACTCGTCTGTACTCATCCGCTTTGCCGCCGACCACCGTTGTCCTTTGTCGGCCGTCGGTCGGCCACCTCCGATTGAATTTTTTTTAATATCATCTTAAAGCTCTTCTCCTCCTCGATCACCTCCTACAATTTCCGGCGAAAATTCCACTTGTAAGGCAGACAATTGCTTCGGTCAAATTTTTTAGATGTTGAAAATTCTGGTCAAAATCCTCAATTTTCCGGCGATTCACGATGACCCACCGAAATTCGAAGATACCACTGAATTCCTTAGACCATCGTGCACCCGTTGACGTTCACCATCTCCAAACCGATGAATTTTACGGCAACCCGTTTTTTTGGCGGGTATCGAGGAGAACAAACTGGAGCTGTTGAAGGTGTTGGCCTTCACCGCGGGGACGTAGGATGGTTGTCGGATGACTGACGGCTAGTCTGAGTAGTCGGGCTATGGTCTGTATGTTAGAACTCCAGTGGGCGGAAGGTGGTGGTGTTGGACGCTAGGGATGGTGGTGTTGGACGGCGGCGGGATGTTGAAGAGAAAGTGGGCTGACAGACGATGATGGTGCTGGAGCGGCGGCAGACGACAAAGGTTGAAGAGAACCAACAGAATATGCGTACAGAGGCGACGATGGTGTTGCTGCTATGGTCTTTTTTCTTTTTTCTTTTGGTTTTAATATTTTATTTTTTGGTTTTAATTTTTTAATTTTAATATCTTCCACTATGACATTTCCACATGTTTTAATTTTTGTTTTTGGGATTTTATTTTTATATTTTGATTTTCAATGGGGTATAATGATTCCACATGGCATAATTGAATTAATAAATCTAAATCAAGCCGCTATGTCAGATAAAAAACATGCCACGTGACGCCATGTCAATTTTTAATACGGGGTGGATAAAATAGGACCAATTTTGATTAAATGGACAATTTATAGGACCCTAATGAAAGTGGCCAATGGCGAAGTGCATTTTTAGAAAGTGGTCAAGTTAGAAGACAAATTTTGAAATTATGCTCCTCTTTGCTGTGTTGCTAATGGAATGTACTAAAACAATGTGATGACACTCCAAAGGTTTGGTTTAATATCCATGGTGGTGTCTATAGGTTTTGTTGTCAAATAATGTAGTGAATATGTACATAAAGCAACAAAAAATGGAAAAGAAAAGAGATCTTATATATGTCAAATAATTCATAAACTTGTGTTAGTTAAGTAACAAATATCAATTATAAGTAATAGTGATGTATATTTCTCCCGGCCCTAGTTTGGACTATACTGGTGCTAAAACAGCTTCCTTAACCTCCACAACTTCCTTTTCGTTTGTACCTACAAGAACTCGACACCAAGGAGGGGTTTCCCGGTGAAGAGCCTCCGATGCCTAAATTAGTAATGATATTAGATGGTGAATAGCATATTGAGTATAAGAGTATGTAGAGAATGTAAAACTAAATCTGACTCATTACTTCTCTTTATATAGGGAAGTGATGTCTTGCTCCCCAAGCTTGGCCGGAGCATTGCCTCGATTGCCCTTGCTGCTTATCCGTACGGTCTACTATGCCAGTGGTATCTCAGGTTGTCAGATGTCAGAGATATATACAACTCACTATTTTCTCGGCACGTGGTCCAATCCTTTTACGGCGAAGTTTTTCACACAGATGCTCTTTTTCCTTCCTTACCCAGTCAATTCTTCTTTATCATGTCGAAGCCTCCGTTTGGTTGAACTCGCTCCACTGCGGCTCCCCTATTTCCCAAGTAACGTGAGGTCGTCTCGACCTCTTGGTCATCTACGCTTAGGTCGAATAAGGCTTCCACCGCTGGCCCGGTCTGATTGCATGGCTTTATTTGTAGGTCCGGACCGATATTATGTCTCATATCAATAAGCATCACCCATCAATGTATCTAGTGCAGTTCCTCAATTCATTTCAGTTCAACCAAAAAGAGGACAATTGGCTACCAAAAAATATATGGAGTCATTCATCGTGAATTTATTTACAATAAGTGTTAATATACAATGTGAGTGACTTTATAAGCAAGGTCATTCGATAGTTTTATTGTTATAGTGTACCTTTTTTTTTTTTTTTGGTACAATAG